CCCCAAAACCCCAAAACCCCAAAACCCCAAAACCCCAAAACCCCAAAACCCCGACTATGTCTCGCGGTATGGAAAAATTATATAATTATTTAAGAATCCTGAAAATTCACGAAAAATGATAGCAAACTCATTTAGGAAGAGCATGACTCCTCGGCCGTGGATGCGAACCTTACCAAGCCTCTTTTCAAGAGGATACTTTGGACTAAACACAGGTAATGGCATGGATTAAATATTATAGATTTTGAGCAAGGAAATGAAATCAAAAGGTTAGCAGAAAAGAGCTGATATGAAATCTTAGGAGTCAAAAAGAACTGCACTGATGAAGAAGTCAAAGAAGCATATGAATCTCAACTTCAGAAATTTGATAAAGAAGCAAATGAACAAAATAAAAAGAGATTTGATGTTTTACATGAAGCTTATCTAACTTTAAAAGTTAAGGAATCAAGGAATTGCTATAATACTCTTGGTTTAACCATTCAATCTGCCTCTGTCCCAATTCTCGTGATGAATAAGTTAAAATATCAGACAAGCAAGGTTGATCGTTATATGGAGACTTATGAACAAAAGGTAAAATCTCTTCTGAGCCATGTAGATAAAAGAGTCTCACCCAGAGTACAAAAAGATCTTCGACTACTCTTCAGAGAAAGCTATTGAAGTATTTAGGAAGAGGTAGGATTTGACTAGTTTAAGTCCTCTAGACCCTTCGGGATTGATACTGATGGAGACCCATACATCTTGAGGATCACCCATCCCATGAATATATAATGGTTGATCTTCATGTTCAGAAAAAGCAATTGGAGAGAAAACTTCGTGGTATGAAATGAAAGCTATTTTATAGTTACCAATCCTGAGGATAGATATTTGTATAAATAAAATCACATACCCAAGAATTGTATATTGTTCGAACTGTAAAGGAATATTAAGCACGGCTGAATCTAACCATCAACCTTGAAGTAATGTATAAAATTTTAATTTTTAGAACACTGTTATGGAAAAGGATATTTAGATGAAGAAAAAGAAGAAGAACTTTGGAATAACCCTTGTAGTTATTGATACTCTACAGGCAAAGTAATTACCAATGTCTGCCAACAATGAGAAAAAACCGGCTTTGTTCATACCACGACAAAGCTTAGTGTTAAAATACCTGCAGATGCTTACCAAGGTCAAATGTTAAGAGTGAAAGGGAAGGGCAATGGAGTAACAGCTCCATATTATGGAGATTTGTACCTCAAGGTAAACATCACTGATTCTTAATTGCAAAACATATTATCCATAAAATTTGCCAAATATTTGAGTATTCTACTAGAGCCACCTTTCAAGCATTATCTTTTCTTAAAAGGCGGATGCAAGATTCTTGAATCTAAAATCAATAGACTATAGTATTTATTTTATTCCAATTTGATCGAAAAGTTGAGGGGTTTTGGGGTTTTGGGGTTTTGGGGTTTTGGGG